TCCTCCGTGGCGATGACGGCTTGCTTTAAAAAAAAAAAAAAAAAAACATATTTGCATAGTGGGGGCTATTGAGGGCTTGCGAGATACCGGTAGCTCTTGATCGACGTGTTGGAGACCCCTTCTCTAATGGGTCCGACTAGAATGACAAATATCGTTACTTCCGCCTATTCCGTCAGCCAAGAAATCTTTTAATCATAAACTTTTTTTTATTTATTTTTTATTTTTAGGGGGGCCACAGGGGGGGGGGATCCAAAGTCAGTGTTAGGGGGGCACTGGCCCCCCCTGGCCCCCCCTAGAACCGCCCCTGTACCATAAGTGACGTGCAAGTGATTGACACAAACTTAAAGGGGACCTATCATGCAAAATGCACCTTTGGACGTCTTTTATACATGAATATGTGTCCCCGGTGTTCCAGGGAACTCACCAAGTGTCAGAAAACACAACCCTCTCTATTTTCCTCCTTCGCCAAATCTCTAAAAAATCCAGATTTCAACACTTTCCTACGTCACAAAGAGACGTGCTCTGCTTATTGGTCAACTCTCCACCTATCAGGGGAATGAGCCACGGCCACGTGCATTGCCGGGATCAATACCAACCATCCGGGAGCAGGCCAGTGAGGACACATCCAATTTTGAAGCTGTAAGTTTTTATTTAGCGGTGTTTTTCCTGATAAAGCTATCTCTAGCTTGTAGTATGTAGCATGTAGCTTTGCCGTATCAATGTCGCCTCAAACCCAAATAGTAATCGGTTAGGTGTTTATATGTTTTTGTAACATTTTATGTTGTACGCTCCGCAGTCTTTGCTTTGTCTTTTATTTTAATTATCAGGCATTTGCTAACATGTTCAGACATACTGCAGTAATGGCGATCTGTGTGAAGGCTGTAAAGCCACGCCCTAGCCGATAACACAAGTATTTATTCTCCTATTTATTAGTATTTTGTATCCTCTAAAATCATATTGAGTAAGTTATAATAACAAACGTAATCTTCTGTAGGTAAGTGCCGTTTTTTGCAGCGTTATATGTAAAAGCTTTTGTGATTGTAGTCTGTAAGAACGATCAGATATCATCGATCTGTAAGCTAAGCTACGCTACGCTAATGAGACATGCCGTTTTTTGCAGCGTTATATGTAAAAGCTTTTGTGTGTTTACTTGTTTGCGCACATGAATATAAATGGGGATGTGTTAGGATACAACACTGTGTGTATGTATGTGAGGGGGGACACACACCACGAGTAAAACGGAGCTAAAGCCCCGTTGGTCTGTTGTTGTTGACGAGGCCTTACCTCTAGCAACAGGCTAATTAGTGGCTAGCACTCATTACAGTCAGTCTACTGAGCTCAGCCCCTCTCCAACACATCATCTGTATTGAGTCAGAAACACAGCATGCACGTTACGGTTCAAAACTAACTCAGATTGGAAAAGGCTAAGCAAAGAGCTTTGCTAAATAGAGAGTTTTAAGCCCCATCTTTTGGGATTTCAGACGATATTTATCCAAATAGTATTTTCTCATCCTGAATACTAAATTGAGATGATTTTGTTCCAACTATGTTTTCTTCTTTACAGGCCAGCACCTCACATACTTACTAATTAGTGACAATTTGTACATCCTTTGCTATTATTTACTTTTTTTTTTCTCATGGCGGAAATGAAAGACTGTACCTGGCAGCCCTGCACTACAATGAAAACGCTGAGCGTGCACAAGCCACTACATCCCCTGGAAACCCTCTGTATAAACTGCAGTTCCCAAAGGCCAGGAAGGGAGAATGCAGAGCAAAACCAGTAAAGACTGACCCCACATTCCGTAAGTGTTTAAAATATTTATTATACAACTATTTACAAATATAAAATTAGAAAGAACTTTCAGTTTTTTACATGCATATACTAATCTAAACCACATTTTTTGTTGTGCTTTTTTTTAACATTGCACAGGCTACGTGGCCAACTTGATGGACCTCATCTTCGACCAAGTCTTTGTGGACCCTGCACCATTATGAGCGACCTGACAGGGACGAGGTCATCGCCGGGTATGCTACACGGTTCAATTTGGCTGCTGTCTGAACCCAACATCGACATTTTGCGGATCAGGAAACTCCTGCCTCCTTGAGGACAACGCAGGCCGGAATCACCACTCTGATCCTGCGTCCAAGGAAGCCCCAGCACCAGCTCACAAAGCTTCTGTAGGCTAGATACCTGTGACGCCTGAAATCATTAAAAAAAATATTTAGTGTAATTTATACAAAATACAAGTACATTTCGTTTTTTTTTTTATGGGTTCAAAGAACCGTTCATTTTGACAATAAAGTTCAGAGTTGATATCAAATGTGTCGTGATTATTCATGTTTGGATGGGTAAAGAATATTCTGATTTCAAAAGCATAAGGTTGTGTGTGGACTTTTTTTGTCGTACACATGGGTGTGTTATGCCATTGCTGTGTAATAATATATATATATATAATAGTACATGTACAATGAAAGATTGCATAAAGCCATATACACCAGTATTTATTTCCATGAACAATATTAGCATTCGTTTTACAATTTCAGTCAAAAGAAACAAACCACTCACTGCTCTATTTGCCTCAACTGTAGTCCACCATGTTCAGCTCTGTAAATATTCAATGCATTCTGCAGGGAGAACACATTCAGGCACACAGGCTCCAATCCAGGATGGTCCACCATACAGGTTATAGAGTCCTCAAGTTCCTGCATCCGTCTTGACACCTAGTGTGATAAAGATATATTGAATGACATGTTAAAAATGTATTCTCTAAACAGACAACTTAGTGAAGCTATCAAAAATGTTACCTGTGGTATCGTCATGCAGCACACATTCTCCGGTTCAGAAGGCATCGTGGCGCAATTTGCACATGTACACCTGTAGAAAGAAGTCAATAACTGAGCTTTTAAAAACACATGAAACTACACACACTGCTGACAACTGAGGTGTTGTTGGAGTTATACTTTGTATCACCCTAAGTTATTGAACTTTCCAACGGTTGTTGCACGATGTTGGAAGAAAAGGACTAAACTATTAATAAACGCAATGAGGCCATTGTATATATGCTGAAAATATGAATGTCTCCCTTTATAAATATATATATGTATCGCTGTTTTTGCGTTACAAGCTCTAAGTTATAAACTGTACACATAGCATTCTTGCTAATTAGCCAAAATATGAACGGAATAAGTAGCAATCATCGTAACAGAGTAAAATAAATAGGAACAACAGCTTGTCAACTAACCATTCAGAAACGTCCTGCTGCAACCGAGATGTTTCCACCTCCACCAAAACCTCCGCTGCTTCAGGGTCAGTCTCTGGATCAAATTGATAATACGCTTGAACACATGCATTGCTCTGAGATGACATGTTTATTCCACACTCGTAATCACAGCAAGCATGTTAACGTGACTCTCACCGGCTCATGCCCCCCTCTTCTGCAGGGGGCGTGGTCAGCTGCTGCTCAGAATTTTCAAAGACAGGCTTGGAAAAGAGCGAAAATGAGCGAAACGAGGCATGGCTAAAAAATGATCTGTTTGGTATTTTGAAAAATAAAATGTATAAATATACCTTATATAGGTATGGTCATACACTATAGCCTATCATTTAAATATAGCATGATAGGTCTCCTTTAAGTTTCTTTTGGCGGATAGACCGCCGGTACCTATGGACGGTACGAGTGTGTTTATGGTCGTTAAACATGTTTTGTCCATTCTGTGGAAACCACCTGGGTCAAGTGACACGGTTTTGCTCATCACGATATACTTTCTCGTGCGCAAGAGATACGTTCACCGGTTCGCCAAGTAGGAAGTGGAGCTGTGCCTTCACTGTGTTTACCTTCATTAGAACAGTTAAAGAGCGACTGCAGGCTGCTTAGTTTTAAACACACACCCCCACACCTCTACACACATTGAACTGCCCGATTATTACGCCTTATTATTCGTGTGTGTGTGTGTGTGTGTGTGTGTGTGTGTGTGTGTGTGTGTGTGTGTGTGTGTGTGTGTGGCTCTTCATTTTTGAGTGCGCAATTAATCGCGCCTTCACGCTAATCGCTGAGAAGCGGCACTGACGCTAGTACAAGAGTAGAAGAATGCATGTTTTTTCTGCTTTATATGCGATACAAATTATTTGTACCATAAGTTCTTAATAAAACTGACACTGTTTGACTCGGTCCTAGTTCGACTGCTACCTACTTTTACTGTGTACTTTTTGGGTAATACTCTCAAAGTCTCCTCCTGAGAACAAAATCATGCCACACTTTTGCTATATTTGATCAGAGATCAAATGATATTTTGCAAAAAAACATTAAACAATGCACATATTTTATTTATTTTATCCACACTTTGTGTCCCTTTATTACATAAGCATACACACAATTCTATTCACCAACATATTGTCGGTTTTGTTGTTGGTGCTGAACAATACGTGTAAATATCATAAATGTGTGTTCACCAAAGAGCTTACATTCAGCAATATTCTAAAATCAAAGGAAAAAATCCCATAGCACCCCCTTGTGATGCGCACTTCCTGGTCGGCCTACAAAAATACATCATCACTGCACTCTATGGGAATAACCTGAAAGTATGTTGTGCTTTTCTCTCCACAGGATGAGGACATAGTGGAAGTTCAGTGTGGAGCAGGGGGGGGGGCGTGCCACGTGCCACTCACAGCTCAGCCTGAGCCCTCTGCTGCGTAGATGGAGGGGCTCCTCTGGGTGCAGCACCGCTGGAGGCAGCTGCCGGGGAGACATTCGGGGAGGGGCTGGACCTCTGCCCCTGCTGGACCACCAGAGAAGACCTCCCAGGAGGCCCATGGTTCTCCGCAGGCAGTCAGTCGGAAACGGAGAACAGTGTTTGCCCGCCATGGGCCCCACTCCCAGGAGTATGAAGCGACCTCCAGGGGCTACATGGGCAACGCCATCCGCTCCTCCAAGTATACCCTGCTGACCTTCATCCCCATGAACCTGTTCCAGCAGTTCCACAGGTCAGAGCTTCACTCGTGTGTACTGCCTACATTTGGGGAACAGAATGTCGTTTAATTTGCTTAAACACACGCATAAAGACCAGTCACGTGCACCTTATACGAGAGCACCTAACAGTATAATTGTATTGGTCCCTTTGAACCCCCACACACTGCGCCCTGATCTCTCACTCTCGTTTTAAACACAATCATATACAACATTTTAATCATGGAAGTGTGCAAATGAAGGCTATATATAGAGTGTATAGGCTTTGTAAAGTACAGAATGTACTGTATATAGGCTCTATGCAGAGTGTGTATAGACTATATATAGTGTTTTTGAGCTATTCAAAGAATGTAGTCTGATAAACATAAAATATTTGTAGGCTGTTTATGTATATAGTCTAGATTTTCATCTGACAGTTGCAAAGAATTGGCATACCCACAGCTCCATATTTCAATGAGTAGAATTATGTTAATGGTAATAATGCCCTGAAAACAGCAAAGGCTATTTATGGCAGTCAACATAAATATAGAGGCAGTCATTTCCAAGATGAATTAGTTTTAATGCAATATTATGTTTCACACATATTGGTGTCCGTTGAAAAAATAAACAAATGTCATGGTTAGTATCATAACTATGTCCATTTATTTCTCCTAAATGTTAATTGAAAAATGTGGTTGCCTTAACATGTACTTTTCACTCGGTTGTACTTAGCTCAACCCTCTTGTGTTACTGCTGCTTACAAAAATACAAGAAGGGAACGGCAGGAAACCTCAATGCCAACGACTAAAACACCAAACGTGAGGCTTCAAAAATGTCCCCAACAAAGGTGACTCACTACATCCACTTCTTACAGCCTCTGATGCAGGGATAATAGACGAGTCTAGGCAATACAAACTAATATTATGTTGGATTGCTAGGCTTCCAGTAGGCTATAGACAACTTTACAAACATGCTCAATGAAATGCAAAGGGGTTTTCATCTTTGGTGTCACAGAAATACTCAAATGAGTTACTTTTCTCAGAAGGTAATGCTAGGGTTGCCAACTTCCAGAGATGGAGAAACGGGACATATGTATGTGTCCCCCGCGCCGCGAAGATTTTCGGGTTTCTGGCGGATTTAGTTACTTTTTTTGTTACTTTATTTCGGTTTTAGGGTTATGTTATTTAATTATTTTGGGGGAGCCAGCCCCTAGGGTTCGAAAATGTTTTTGGAGGTCAAACCCCCCAAAACCCTCAAAATGCATAGAAAACTATGCATACCTATAACACAATACAAACACAATGGTCTTACACCTGCATTAGGCTACTAGATCACATTGTACATCAGCATGTTCAAATCGGATAGGTGGGCACTAGGGACATCTGGGCACCTCGATGTACAATTGGCTATTTTGTCCAAAATGTTAAAAAATATTTTTTATTTTTCCCTTTACACGGGAGTCCGGGACAAACAAAGTCCCGTACGGGACACGCCCCTTTTGGCTCAAATACGGGGCGTCCCGGCTAATACGGGACGGTTGGCAACCCTAGGTAATGCTAACCTTTTAAATGAACATGTATCTTAAAGTGACTTTCAGCTCCAATTCCGGGGACCACATTTTGCGTGTGGAGCAGAAATGCTTCCTTGCAAAGATGGTTTCCTGCTGGAAGATTCCATAACCTTTCTTAGGTGTTTTCTGTTCCAGAATGTATTGCTTGTTTGTTTAGCTTAGTATCATGTGTGGACCTTGGAATTGGGGTCAAAAGGGCTGGATAAGCCTATTAGTCCACAGTTTTTTGAATGCCACATCTTAGGTCCATCAATTACAAATTTGAGTTGAGATATTTCAGTCCAAACCACAAAAACTGACAGACACATAGGAAATATATTGTGGAACACCAAAGGAAAGTCTAGGAGCAAATGGTTGCATTTCCACTAAATACTAATACTAGCTGCTTTGGTCTTCCTTTGTAGGGCTGCCAACCTCTATTTCCTGTTCCTGGTGTTACTGAACTGGGTGCCAGTGGTTGAAGCCTTTCAGAAGGAAATCACCATGATTCCTCTGCTGGTGGTTCTCACTGTAATCGGCATCAAGGACGCCCTGGAAGACTTCAGACGCTACCTGTTTGACAAGAAGGTCAACAACAATGTGGTGCGAGTGTTTTGTGGGTAAGTCAGCCTCTTTAGCTAAAATGTTCTGACTTGTGAACATGTCTGTGAGGCTGTGATACCATAAACTGGTATGAAAGAATATTGAACTTCATCATATTACCCAACTTATATAAAGTACATAGTATGCAGAGTGACTAGCTTAGCATCAGAACTTCAAGGAGTTCACAGCTGCATGATAAGTAAAATTGCTGAGTGAACCACAGCTTAACTGGATAATGAAGGGCTTGTCTTATTGGCTCTGCTCCAAACAGTCGATTCAGAAAAGGTTCAGTTGCCATATTACCAACTGCTAATAAAATATTGTTTAAACAAAATCCAGAGCAACATTCCTACTTTCCCAGCATGCAACAGCAACAAAGACAAACTCTATATCGACAGTAGTCCCTTCACAGGGTATGACGGTGGCCCGGCATCATCCATTTATTAGCCTGCTTTATAATTCTTTTTTTTAGCTCAATAAGCACATATAGTATTTTAAAGGACACTTCCTGTATAGATCACCGGAAGTTGGCTAGAGGGGACGCTGGCATGTTTTTCGCCGCTCTTCTTGCCAACGCTTATTCCTCGTGTCTATCACTCCCTGCCGTCAATTCTTTTTTGCATACACAGCGAAAAGATTGTTCTTCTCTGGTTTTGTGTTTCTGCCATACTCCGTTGCTCAGCCGATTATGTTTGGCTGCTGTTTAGCTCCTAGCCTCTGCCGTCCTGCCATTAGCAAAACGAGCTCACCGTCGTGCTCTGCTATCCGTGGAATCCCCGCTCCGGAATACCCCGACTGGTCTCCTCTTTGCCCCGCTCCCAGGACTATCCACGAACCCTCCCTCAGTCCTGCTATCTCAACTGGGGTGTTTTCCATCACCGCTGCTGAGGTTCGAGGTCCGGTTTCTACCAGGCTAATGGTGCTAGCTGCTAGCTGGCTCGCTGTTCTTCCCACATGCCCCACCCCAGAACCTGCGGTCTTCAGACTCTGGCCCCCCGCACCAACATGTGAACCTTCGGGGATAGAGCCTTCAGTATGGCAGCCCCCACTCTCTGGAATGCTCTCCCTGCGGAGATCCGCAACATCCCCCCCCTTTCTATCAGCTGTGCACCGTTATGGTGTAAATATAACCTATCTACCAATTGGATCAAATATAAAAGTCAGCCGAATTAGTGTTGATACTGCAAGGAGACGTATTGTGTGAAAAGAAATGGAAGATGTTGTTTCATTGTTAATATATTTATGATCCACGTCACGTATTCAGTTTTGGCGGCATCTCTTCCAGTTTGTCAAAAGGTCTTCTGATTAGGGCTCTATAAATAAATATCTACGGCAGATATGTAATATTTAATGCAGCCGAACCGTGTATTACAATGCCGTTATGTGATGACTTCCAAAGAGAAAAGCAAGAACACTCGGAATAAAGTATTATTTTATTTGAAACTTTATTTTTTTCGATTTCATATCGCATAAACACCATCTCCCAACATGCGGCTAAAACAATCGATGTTTTAGCCTATCAAAACCTCTGAAAAAACAAAGGTGTCTCTCAGAATCGAAAGAGAAAAATCTATGGGAAAACACAAAAGCATTGTACACAATTTAAACCAATTAATGTCGTATAATTTACAAGGATAAACTGATGTTTTTTAGTGGATGAGTACTGCAGATATCACTGTTAAATCATTTGATCATTGGTTTTATTATGAAAACGTCGAGACCGGAAATACTGTTTTCAACCCGTAACTTTACATGGAGGCTGCCGCATACCTGAAATGATCTTTGTAATATCTATCAAACTATAGATCCTACATATCGACTGGACGTGGATTCTAAAAGTACAATCTACACTTCTCGCTAGAAATCTAATAAAAAAGTGTTTTAATGGCCAAACTATCCTACAATTTAGGATTTTCCAGAGAGGGTTATTTGTGAATAAACGACCATATGTAACGTTTGCATTCAACGGTATTATAGGACGTATTAAGCGCTTGAACAAACGACATATTTGGTCGTAATAAGGGCCTGAACAATCGGCATATTTGGTCGTATGACTTGGAGGACTTGTTGGCCTTTTTTGTATCGGTTCAAAGAGCGGTCTTTACAGTATGTTAGAATGTATATAATATACTATCAGGAAGACGTATCCAACCATTCTGTTCAATTTCACTGGACATATTAATCTGTCAACTCAATCTTAAAGGATCGTCTGGAAATAAGAGACTGCACAATCTCTTCTGCTGCTCCCTCTTGCTCCTATATTTTATTACACAATCCGTCTTTTGAGGCCGTTGTAAAGCTTGGACCTTGAGTTTGTTTACAGCCCTTTTGAAAGTAATCTGCCATCGAGGTATTCATTCATCCCTCCCATTCCAAACAGACAGGTCTTTACTTAAGGTGTCAGGAGGATTTATTCCAAATATGACAGGTCTGTTGAAAGAAGGGACGGCATGAATGTGAAAGGAAAGTGGCAGGACAGGCTAGTGAAGGATTAAGCAGAACTGAGTCCAATGGAGCGGTGACCTCATGTATAGCTTGGAACGTCTTCCTTCTTCCAAGGAGCGCCTGCAGAAGCAGAGGACAGTGGTACCTTCCTTCAACGCAGATGAGGAACTGAGTCTACTCTTGAAGTCGTACAAAGGCAACAAGATCCGTACCTCAAAGTATTCCCTCCTCTCCTTCCTGCCGAAGAACCTGTTTGAGCAGCTCCATCGAGCTGCCAATGTCTACTTCATCTTCCTCGCTGCTCTCAACTTTGTTCCCGTGGTGAAGGCCTTCCAGCCCGAAATCGCTGTGATTCCCATCATACTGGTGCTGGCAGTGACCGCGGTCAAAGATATCTGGGAGGACTACCACAGGTATAAATCGGATCATTCCATTAACAGGCTGCCGTGCCATGTCTACAGCAGGTAGGTTCAATGTTTATTTCTGAAAAGTCTTGATTTGGCAAAACAGAACCTCTAAATGCAAGCAGTGATGACAGAAGTACAAAGATGTTTTACTTAGTGTTATCCTCATAATGTACATAAAGTACTCATTATGCAGTATGGCCATTTTTTTAATTCAGTATCTTGTATTACACGATTATATTTAGTGATTCCTTAATGTTTACTTCCTTTTAATTTTGCAGTTTATAAATCAAATCAAATCGGGTTTTATTTATTTATCACATTTTAAAAACGATTGTTGGTCGAGCCAAAGTGCTGTACATGCAAATAATAAATAACACAGTCGCAAACAGAAGACAATAAATTACAACAGCAAATATAAAAATCAAACACAGGGAAATGTCATGAGTCGTGCTCCGCTCTGACTAGAAGGCCAGGGAGAAGAAGTGAGTTTTTAGTGTTGATTAAAAAAAACCTATAAAGGTGGAGCTAACCAGTTATCTTAGTCCATAATATACTTCGTAATTCATCGGTCGATTTGACTGTTAGTTGAATATGACCATGCTAAGTAACTGATCTTTTCAAGTAAGTGTAGCAGAGTAAAAAGTACAGTATTTGCTTTCAAATTTTAGTGGAGTAGCATAAAAGTAAAAGTATCTCAAAATTGACAGTACTTGAGTAAATGTACTTGGTTACTTTCCACCACTGTGTGCAAGTTACAAGTCCTCTAGTCTATGTTAACAAAATTAGCACAAAATGTAAAGTTTTGGCAAAAATGACTTTTACTGTCTTTTCACCTATGCTTTTTATGTTGGTTTACCGTTAGTTGTCAAAGTGGTAGAAAAATTCTTCTGGGCAAGACTTCCAATAAATGTGCTCTTTGACAATACAAAAAGTCAACAGTCGAATGTGGTCAATTAACTTTTGACAAATGACAGTAGATTACAGCTGGCAGCTGAATACATACCGCCACCTTACAAACCCCTCCCTCAGGTAATAAAGGTAATGTTGACAGGAGGGCATTAAAGAGTCCTCTCTGTAACGCACTGATGTAATGTGCCGTAGAAAATGAACACAAAGAATGTTCTGCCATAATTCCAGGTAAACATTTCTTATTTAATGTTTTTAATGCTGTAGGTTCCATTGTATTCATATAAATTCAACTGCTATTGTATTCAGTCACCAACGGTTACGGTATAATGTTGAAATGAAAATGTATCAGACAATCACAAATCATTAACTATGTCAGTAAAGTGTGTATTAAGGGCAATAACAGTCTAAATTAGTAAACCTACACACTGACATTTTTAAAGCCAATCATAATTTAATTAACATAAATAACAAAATAAATCAGATGAAATTTATTTTTAAAGAAGAGAAAATAAACTGACATGGCAAATATCCATACACTTTACATAAAACATAAGTGGAGCTGAAATCGACCTTTTAAAACTAAATACAATTAGACGGTAAAAAGTCAAGAAACGACAAAACTGAGGTTGAAAATCCCCCCCCCCCCCCCCCACACACTCTTATACGATGCAGGTTCCTGTTTTTGTAGTCTTTTTTTGTCAATTATATCAAATTCAAATTTATTTCATATTGTGTATTCTTGAGATACACTTTTGATATATATGTTTTCTACTGTTGATATGTTTATATGTACTGTTTTTTTATTTTATTATATTTTTAACTCATGTAATATCTGTACATAATTCTCAATGACATAACATTGCAGAGACCTGCCCGAACAGCTTACACTGTGAAAGTCATATTTAACCACTGATTGTATGTGTGAATAATACCCGTCCAACAAATGGCATTCCTCCCTTTGGTAAATACCAGCAGGAGCTTTCACCCCTAGAGCTAATAAGCTTCAGTTGACAAATAGAGTGGAGAAAAAAAGTATTTGATCCCTTGCCGATTTTGTTAAGTTCACCCACTTAAGAAATGAACAGTCTATAATTTTAGCACAGTCACCAAGAAAACTATTGGTAACACACTACACCGTAATGGATCAAACCCTGCTGCGCCTGAAGGCCCCCCCCCCCCTGCTCAAGAAGAACATGAGAGGCCCGTCTGAAGTTTGACAATGAACATCTGAATGACTCAGAGAAGGCTTCGGAGAAGATGATGAGGTCAGATGAGACCAACATCGAGATCTTTGGTATCAACTTGACCCGCTGTGTTTGGAGGAAGAGAGATGCTGACTATAACCCCAGAACACCATCCCCACCGTCAGTCATGGAGGTGGAAACATTATGCTTTGGGGGTGTTCCTCTGCTAAGGGGACAGGAACACTTCCTGCATCGAGGAGCGAATATACGGGGCCGTAACTTACGATAGCCTCTTTCCCTCAGCCAGGACTAGGGATGGGTATCGAGAACCGGTACTAAGTCAGTACCGGTAGCCGATTGGACGGTAACGGTATACCGTTAAGCCGCTGGACAAACGGTGCTGCTATCCGTATATTAATTATGCTACTTCCTTAGTTTAAACAATTCTGGTTGGTTGGGAACCCTCATCCTGTATGACGTATCCGGTTTGAGTACCACTCTGATTGGCCACTATGAATGCCACTTGTCATCTCTCCTAACAGCGCTCTTATTATTGTGAGACTCCCGGGGGCAGACGCAACATCTTGCAAGAAACAGCGTCTCAAGGCTTCTTAACATTTAACAACCTATTAATGATGCATACCCACTTAACGGGAAAAAACTCAGCTAACAGACGATATTGACCATTTTACCTACACGGAACAGAAGTCCAACACCAAGAGTCTAAATCAACACTTAGCGAAAGGGGCTAACAGGGCTAACTTTAGCACATTACATTACATTACATTACATTACATTACATTGCATTTAGCTGACGCTTTTGTCCAAAGCGACTTACAATAAGTACATTCGACCAGGAAGACACAACCTTGAAGAAAACAGAATCATATAAGTATATCAGGTTTCATAGAGCCAAACATTTCAAGTGCTACTCAACTGGCTTTAGGTAATCCAGTCCTTTATTGGTATAAAAGTGCTTCGTTAATCGTTCTAACGCTCGAAGTGGAGTCGAAAGAGATGAGTTTTCAGTTTGCGCCGGAAGATGTGCAAGCTATCTGCCGTCCTGATGTCAATGGGGAGCTCATTCCACCATCTTGGAGCCAGGACAGCAAACCCACGTGTTTTCGCCGATGGGAACTTGGGTCCCCCTCGCAGCGAGGGCGCAACGAGTCGTTTGGCTGATGCAGAGCGTAGTGCACGCGCTGGGGTGTACGGTTTAACCATGTCCTGGATGTAGGAAGGGCCAGATCCATTCGCAGCACGGTAAGCAAGTACCAGTGTCTTGAAGTGGATTCTAGCAGTTACCGGAAGCCAGTGAAGGGAGCGGAGGAGCGGAGTGGTGTGGGAGAATTTAGGAAGGATGAAAACCAGACGAGCCGCTGCATTCTGGATGAGCTGCAGAGGTCGGATGGCACATGCAGGTAGACCAGCCAGGAGGGAGTTGCAGTAGTCTAGGCGTGAGCACATAACTGGCGATCTTTTCTACGTCATGTTATCTGCACAAACGACATATCACATGAAAGCTGAGATTCCACAGATTCCATTGGCATAAGTCTCATCACTGTACGACCACAACTCACTGAACTAGCAGCCAGGAAAGAGCAAGAAAACAACTTCACTTTACGTAGCCATGATGATGATTATGTCTTACCTTTGCTGTTTTGTGTTCAAGGGCATACAAACAGTTAATCCAATGTCTCTGTGTAACTTTAAAATGATTACTGATGATCCATCATTACAATTATAAATAATAAACGCAATAAACGGATTATAATGTTAGCCGGCCGGAGCTTCTGGTTTAGAAGGTGCATCTCGTTTTAACTGAATAATGGTCATGTTTGCATGGATTTATGAACTGCCCCTAATTACCGCCCCCCCTTCTAGAGACACACTGTCAAACACACTCATACCTGCTTGGTATGACATTGAAAAAGTTACATTCAATAATAAATTACAATAAAATGACTGTTTAATCTTCACATCTTGTATTCATGTCTATAATTTTGAGCATTGAAAAGTATCGATAAGAGTATAGAAAAATACCGGTATCGATAAGCAGTATCGGTATCGATAAAATCCTAACGATACCCATCCCTAGCCAGGACACTGAAAATGGGTCATGGGTGAGTCTTCCAGCAGGACAATGACCCTGAACATACGGCCAAGGAAACACAGGAGTGGCTAAAGAAGAAGCACATGTAGGTGAGGGAGGGGCCTAGCCAGTCTCCAGACCTTAATCCCATAGAAAATCGGTGGAGGGAGCTGAAGCTTCCAGATGCCACAATGGACCACAATCCTTCCTGAGATGTACACGAACCTGGAGACCAGCTACAAGAAGCGTCTGATCTCTGTCTGTCCAACAAGGGCTTCTCCACCAAGTACTAAGACATGTGTTGCAAGGGGATCAAATACTTATTTCCCTCAGTTAAATGCAAATCAATTTTTATCTTTTATATAATGTCAGTTTCTGGATTTTCTTTTTGATATTCTTACCATCACTGTTAAAATAAACCTACCATTAAAATGATAGACTGTTAAGTGGGCAAACTTACTAAATCTGCAAGGGACCAAATACTTATTTCCTCCACTGTACAGTACAGTATAGTTTTAACGGCTGACACTGTTTCCATGGCTAAGTATTGCAATACTAGCTACTGTTCCATAATAGTATTCATCATTCAAACTGACTTATTTTTAAGTACTCTTTAAAGGCCTTATACACATTTGTGATGGACATGTTTCTCCATTGTGATCCGTCCACCTGCTGCAGCCTTTCCACTTCCTTTCACCTGAATACATCTGGAAGTTTGTTAAACATATCATTAATAATGGACCTCTAAATTCTTGACAATAACAAAGAAGATAACATATTTTCAACTTTGTGTTCAGAGGACAAAAGTATTCCTGCTCTGTGCTGAATAAAACTGTTGGTCTAATCAGCTGGAGTCTATATCGGCTTGCAGTGTGATGTTTTGTATTTAAGTGGCACATGCCGGGTTTATGTGTACACAGGGAAGATAAACACAATCAATACCTGATTAAATAACTTCTAACTACGTTTAAAAAAGAGCTACCTTCTTGCAACTTTTAAATCAAGGCATTATCTTGGAAATACTCCATAACTGTTTCCGGATGAACAACAGTAATGAGTTAGCTCTTAAGAGGTTAGCAAATGTTGGAATGCTTTGTTTACAATCAGTAAATTATGCTATTTAAAATGTGTGGGATCTCTGAAGCATTTGATAACAACTTTGCACACTCACACCGTCTCAAAAATGTAGAAGACGATGTAATAACATCATTTTGTAGGCCAAAATGCACTTTTTGATGTCTTTTATACATAAATATGTGTCCCCGGTGTGTCGGGGAACTCATGCAGCGTCAGAAAATAAAACCCTTTATCTTTTCCTCCGTACCCAAATCTTTAAAAAACGGGGGTACAACGAGCCGATACAGATGGTGGACCCACAGAAAGTTGCTATCAGAAACAATGCCTGACGTGTTTTGGACGTAATCTCGTCTTTGTTTACATTAGCAAGCCTCGCTAACACTCAGAGCTAACCTGTACTGTAGAGCACATGTGTTTAAAAAGCAGGACATATAAAAAGGAACTCACCTTGTGGTAAACCCGCAAGAGAAAAAGCATTTGAGCTCCATACTGTTTCAGAGATCATTCTTGATGTGGTTTAGAACAGGATGGCGTTTTATCACAGCAGAATTGTACTTTATCTCCGGTAGAATTCTGATCAGGCATTAGCTCCGCCTCCTCTTTTTAATTTTTTCAAGCTAAGGACCCAAAATCCGCGTTTCTCTAACAGGGCTGGAATAGAGGCTTATGAGGGATGTCTAAAATGCATGATCTGTTTGTGTTTTGAGCAAAACACATGTTTTTATATGTTTTCATATATCTGAGACCCATAATATATGCCTTAAAATAGCATGATAGGTGCACTTTAACATATTAGCACCACTTTATAATAGTTGAAGCATAAAAGCAATCGCCAGAAATAAAAAGCTAACGTAATGAACTACATGATGGTCACATGACTTCAAGTCACCACCGCTAAGCTAAAGGATGTGATGACGTTTAGATGTCTCATTTAGCCTTGTTAGCAACCGCTATTTTAAGTCACAAAAAGACAAGTAAGACACTTGTTCACAGACATATGTTATGTCATTGCACAAAACGTGAATATCTCGTAAGCCTATATTAACCACAGACATTATTTCAGAAATTGAACCAAAAACTAATTTTAAAAAACCTTGACCTCCATACGAAGAGTCCGGAAGTGCTAAAATGCTAACTCATTTCCCGTGTTAGGACTTATTTCTGCTCTATTCTCTATGGATCAGTTTAAGTTATAATCGACCTGTTATTTTTCCTTTTCTGTATCCTGTGGTGTACCCCAAGGCGTCATCTTAGGCCCATGTTGTTTGCATCATAACAAGTCATACACGACGGACCTCAAAATGTAGAGCTATTGATTTTAGCATGTCCTCCACTGCCTGGAATCTTTCTAAACTCTGCCCAATCAAAAATAAATAAAGCGTGATTGCTTGTAAAGCCTCACAAAATGGACTACTCTGCATAATTGTTCTTGGCATTGTATTAATGTGTCCTGTCTGTAACCTCATGTACATTAAACATTTTGTGGTCTCTGTTCTTTTTCTCAGTATTTCATCATTTTCCTGAGCTGTTTCTTCTTTCTCTTCTCATATTGTCCCTCAGTAAGCAGCAGGCCTACATTGAGCAGCGCTGGCAGGATGTGCGAGTCGGAGACTTTGTCTGTCTGTCCTCTAATGAAATTATTCCGGCGGACATGCTGCTGCTGTATTCCTCTGACCAGCGTGGGGTTTGTTACATTGAGACCGCCAACTTGGACGGAGAGACCAACCTGAAACAGAGACAGGTGGTTTCTGACCTCCCGTTGCAGGTAATAATACATAAAGTAGATAAATACCATGTGAAAACATGAAAACGTACCTTATGTTTCAATAACGTTGTATGCGCTCATACATTTGTGAATTCTGCTTCCCAATGACTGACAAAAGTTTAGAATTATTTTTACTTTACAAAACAGTACTTGTAGACTTTATCACATTTACAGTATGTTTCTTTAAATGCAATTATTCTCCCCAATGTAATTTAATTACAAAGAGCTATGTTTTTGTAACCACCCCAATGGCATACATTCATGGTTAGAGGTAGGAGGATCCTGTTTCACAACAAATGTAAGCCAAATGTAATATACAGGTAACCTGAAAGCAACTGTGGCTTTTAGGATAAAAACTCAAATTAATAATATTACATAACATTACCCCTATACAGAGCATAAGGTGAAACAAGAACTCTTACATTAGATGTATAATGTAGAATGGATGTATAAACTTTACCTTTTTTGTGATAAAGATTTTTTTGAAGCAGCATTAATGATTTCTAAGGTTTTGGTGCAGGTGAATACATTTTAAAGTAAGTTTGTCCAATTTGCAGTGTTCCTTTATTCCCCACTCATTAGGATAATTAGGCCTATCAAATCTGCAGTTAGTTTAGGTCAGGAAGCTAGATCGTTTATGATGGGATGTGTTTGGATGAATGATTTAAATGGCAAACCTAAAAAAAATGACTCCTTAATGTTTATTCTTGACTATGAGTTAATTGTCAAGTATTAACCAGAGGGTGTGTGTGACTATGTGTTTTCCAGGGAGTAGAGTCCCCCCTCGAGAGCTTCCACAGTCGTATTGAGTGTGAGAACCCCAACAATGACCTCAGCAGGTTCAGAGGTTACATGTAAGTTCCCCTTCATCTGCCTGTAGAACACTGCCGTGACACTGATACATTGGATCATTATGACCTTATCTTTATATATTAATTGAGGCCAACATGTGTCATTGCTTTGTGACTACAGTCTTACAGTATCCTCTTCCTAATCAAAACTAGATATAGAACATTTCAGAAATATATGGAACATGTATCTCTGGAATATTGCCATTTATAAGTCTGGATTAATAGATATATCTCATATTTTAGTATTTTAGTTGAGACATTATTATCATCACATTGTAACAAAAAGAAAAACCGATTCCAACAGATGTTCCTCATCATATTGTTATGCCCCTTTAAAGTGTAACATCCTTTCAAAACAAAGTCAAACTATCCCGAAGTCATATAACTATTTATTCATATATTTATGATATTGCTCTATTTGAAATGAACAAAAGAAGGCCAAATGAGCCTTCTAAAACCATCACACTGCCTAAAACACACCTCCACTCTCTAAATGTTACCAAAGTCAATTCCTCACATCTGTAAACCTACGTCTGATTCTGAAATAAAGTGTATTGTGTTGGTCTGCAGGGAGCACTCCAGTGGGCTCCGAGTGGGCCTCCACAACAACAACCTGCTGCTGAGGAGCTGCACCGTCCGCAACACTGAGACCGTGGTGGGCATCGTGGTGTACGCTGGTGAGAGCAAGCACACACTGAGGGTCAACACACTGCTCACATTGGGGTCTGCTTTGTGAGGAATACATCACGTGTTGAAAGACATTACTAAAATGTTTGTGCAGTCTGTTCACCACAAGCAGGAAAGGTGACCAGCTGTTTCTGTTGACCCAATGAGATCCAATTACATTCGTAATGACTTTTCTTCGTGAATTCAGAGGAGATAAATACATTCATTAAGTGCAGTACTGCATTATTTTTTATTTTGATAACATCACCAGATTACCAATACAAAAATATTTCATTTTTGTATAATTTACCTGACTGATCCTTCATGGGATTATTCTGATTTACGATAAAACTATCAACCAAACATAAACTTGACCAAACATTAACCTGGGTATTTCAGGACCTCATTAAGTGTTTCTTCATCAGTTTTCTAAAGCTCTTATAGCAGCGACAGCCGAGGCAACATCAATCAAACCGTGTTTTGAAAGAATAAATGTAGCCTTAGACCTCCTGTTCCCTGACTGTTAGTGTCAGGTTTACTGTAGTGTGTGAACCCAAGCTCCTTTGTGTCTCCTCTGAATGGAGTAATACAGTAGAACCAGTCAGGTAAGTTGGTGCAGGCGCCCGCCCCCACTACCAGCATCGTACTATCTGCAGGTATTTGAGCTTGACCAAACTCATTCTGTCTAAAGAACAAATGTCATTTTTTGAGCTGAAATTCAGGGATCTCTTATTTTATATTGAACATGAAAGGACATGCCTGCATCTCCTGTCTCCCTACAGCTACAGTACTGAGTGTGCAGACTAGAGCCAGTATTTCCTAATATATGTGTTCTCTTATTTATTCAAGATTCAAAGGCTTTATTGTCATATGCAAAGTAGCTACAGTGTAGAAATGGCAATGCAAATCGTAACTCCCGAGCTCTTCCAACATAGCAACATAGTTATATAAAACTTAAAACAATCAAATAATATAAAATAATAATACTGCAAGAAGAAACAGAGTTGAATAGAAGAGTGAAGATTATGTTGCAGATCAATGTGCAAGTGATGCAGATGAGCTAAATGTTGCAGAGAATGTTGTAAGTGACCAAGTAAATGCAGAAGTCTGTACAAATGTAAAAAGAATAAGATATATGCAGGGACAGAATTTCAAATGAAATATTTTACAATCAAATACAAATAAAACACTATATAAATACTACATAATGAATCAGTTAAGACTCAAAGCCAAATCGTATGTGTACATATACTATCTGCTATTGTTAGTGCTGCAGCTGTAAAACCTTTGTACAGTCAATCATACAAGAGGACCAACGGCAGCCAGCTTTGCTTCCTCTATTTCTGTGGGAATGTGGAAGAGATTTTAGAAAATAACAGAAATGTTGGTTCCTGAAACATCTTTCAAAATGACATCATTTATGGTTTGCCACAAAACATCAAGGCTGTATCTGTATGTCTGCGCGCTACGTGGCTTTAGATGATATTGATTGGATAAACTCCTCCAACTGATAACGAGGAACCATCTAATTAAAACTAGGGTCATTTTGTTGTCAATCTTGTCGAACCAACAGTTCGACAAGAACAAGCAACAGTAACTAAGAAAGGGGGGGACTTTGGATCTGTCAGAATCAGTAAATAATATATGATTACTCTAATAGGGGTTAAAGGCTATAAAATCATATTCCAAGCTAGAGGCAACACAGTTGAAACTGCCAAATGCAGGAAGGAGGACGGCTGGCAATAAATCCCAGGCTGCCTGATGAGGAAATGAATAGACTTATTATCACAGCCCAGCTGACTCTAATTGCATTTGTTTGTTTCATTTCATGTATGTTTTGCTTAAGTATAGCCTAGTCTTTGGAATGTCAAAATATACATATTTACATTTTAGAATGTTGTCCAAAGCGACTTACACTTGGTGCAAAAAGGCAGTGTATGAAAAGTGTAGTCTTATTCTTTCAACTTTATGCCAAGAAACAGACTTGCAGCAAATAAATAAAAATAAGGTATAAAGCAGGTTTTACTTTAAGATGGTGTTATCAACCAACACATACGTTACCAGAGTAAAGTTATAATAATTGTTCCATGAGTGTTTGATAAATGACCACTGTCTTTTAGGATATGAAAGTAAACCTGCCCACCTCTTTGAGTTTTTAAAAAAATGTTCATTGATGAATAAACCATACCTTCGTTTTCTATTCCATGAGAAAAATGTGCCTTTTAATAAAAAGAATACTCATTTATTAAACAGCGCTGTATCTACTATCTCTCTTGGCTGTTTAATGACAGTTTTAAATGCCACTTTACAATGTGTTCCTTTTGTCTTAAATGCTTTGGTTTGTTGGAAAGCACTTTGAACTGTGGTTGAAGTGAGTGAGATAAATAAACGTGCCTTGCCTAAATGCATTAAGTAACAAAGCATACACACAAAAAGTCAGTTTGGAACAAGAAGCAGGGTTTACGCATGAGAAATCATTTATAAAAACAACACTTCAGTTGAGTGTGTGGTGGAGCTGTAAAGAAGTGTGCCCTCTGTCTGTGTAATGGTGTGTGTTCTCCTCTCTGTGTGACCCAGGTCATGAGACTAAAGCCATGATGAACAACAGCGGGCCGCGGTACAAGCGCAGCCAGCTGGAGAGCCACCTGAACACCGTGGTGCTGTGGTGTGTGCTGCTGCTCTTCGTCATGTGTCTCACTGCTGCTATAGGTGTGTGTTCCCCCGCTCTCACTCCTCTGCACAGCTGCAGCACAGCACTGTAGTGTTAAATGAAACAATAAGCCACAGGAGGACTGTTTGGCTGCTGAAATATCACTCTAAATGACTTCCTCTTGCTCTTATAAAACTGTTACCACTTATACCTAGCAAGGTTTCATGAAATAAACACACAAACCCTAAAGAAATGTAATGTATTATACATACAAACACTTTTTTTAAGCAATGTTAAGCAACATACAAGGTGCTGTGGAAAGCATGTTGGTCTTGTTCTTGTACAGACATTTGGCCTTGTCTGAAGATTAGCTGTTTTAGAGATGACCCCTTCTTACTACTGAATATGTGTAAATCATGTTGTAAACATTTCTCCTTCAGATAATGATAGGACCAAAGATGGTATAAGGGTAGATCTTATCTGTCTCTATGATAATGAGGATTACCGGCTTCCTGTTGGTTGAAGGAGCGGAACAACTTCAGTGTGGGTTGGGCAGAGGCTGTCACTACTGTGTCTCAGAGCATATTATGCTGACTGATTAGAAAAAAAACTAACATATTTTGCTGATTATAAATAAATAAACATATACCTATGCTTACTAAATATCATAACTTAAGAAAAGCCAAATATGGCTAGAGGACAGTGAACACATAATGCTAGCTGTAACGAGAGAAATGTGAACATACTTTGCTAACTATTACTTGACAAAAGGTTTATTCTAATTATAACTAGAGAAAAGTTTACATTTTATGCCAACTATAACTAAAGAAAAATGAACATATCATGCTGACTATAACTTAAAGGGGAGCTATCATGCAAAATGCACTTTTGTACGTCTTTTAAACATGAATATGTGTCCCCGGTGTGTCAGGGAACCCACCAAGTGTCAGAAAACACAACCCTCTCTCTTTTCCTCCATACCCCGATCTCTAAAAACGGGGCTGCAACGGATCTGATTATTATTTGAATTTCTCTGACGTCAGAAAAGGGGTGCTCCGCCTATATGGGCAACTCTCCACCTATCAGGGGAATGAGAGACCGCTGGAGACGCTGTAGTACATATGCCAGGCCTGTAAGTGGCGCTGTAGTCTGCCACAAAAGCAGAATCAGCCCTTTCAAAAACAGGGCTGGAAAAGAGCAAATAGAGAAAAATGAGGCATGGCTAAAATGTATGATCTGTTTGGTATTTTGAAGAGAAAACTTCACAGACATGTTTTATATAGGTATGGCCCTACAATATATGTTTCATATATAGCATGATAGGTCCACTTTAACAAAAGTGAACCTGTTATGCTAACTATAGAAACGTGAACATACTATTCTAGCTATACTATACAATGTGAACAAATCTGCTAACATGTATGCAAAAAATGAACTTGATGATCACTATAACAGACTAATTGAACATATGATGCTAATTGTAGAGAAAATGAACATAGTTTGCTCACTATAACTACAGGAAATATCATGCTAACTGTGACTAGAGCAACGTGAAGACATTTCTCTTTTATTTAACTGGAGAGAAATGTATAAGAACATGTGGAGCATAAAAGACCAACTTCAGTCTGTATCTGCTCACAGTGTTTGCTGTTTCAGGTCACGGCCTCTGGCTAAAGAACCGCAAAGACCCGGTCTTTAAGGTGGATACGGAGACTTCTCCCGCCCTGGCTGGATTCTATGTCTTCTGGACTATGATCATTGTGCTGCAGGTACACACGTTACCATTTCACCAGAAACAATTACATTTTTAAAATCATATCAAAGACTCTTGTTAGCTGCAAGTAAGTGTTGATTTCCAGATGTGTTGGTCCAACCCAGTCTCACGGCATTTCGTGTTCACCAACACGATTTTTAATCTATTGATTCGTGTTCACCAACACAATTTGCCCCTTTTTTTCGTGTTGCACAGCACGATTTTAAAAGCAATGTATTTATACTGCCTGCAGCACGTCTTTTTCTCCGGTCGGGTCGAGGAAGACCGGAAGCTGTGTGGTTCATAAAAACATGTTCTTACCATAGACTGTATATATAAATGGACGTAGGGTCCGTGACGTCACCCATAGGATTCTGCAGGGTTGCCGTGAAGCCCTTAGTAGGCGGAGTCGGCCACTAACGGCTCGACAGTGACGTCAGAGTTCAACTCCCGCCTGTTCCAGCCCGCTCCAAATAAGGGCAAAGAGGCGAGACCTGCTGCCACCAAGCTGGAAGTTCCAGAGCTAGCTGAAGCTACCAAGCTAAGCTAACATGCTCCCCATCTGCACGCTGCCGTCGCATTTTACGTTTCTAAGGTAAGCGGACATGAAACTATTCAGCAAAAACTATAAATAATAATCTAAGTTATTGAGCTTTTAGCATAATACTTCAGAATCTTAAAACCCCTTAACGTTTGTATGCAATTGTGCTAAATTCAACACTGGAATCAAGCAAATATTAATATGTTTGCATGACATTAGTTATTTATATTTTGATATCACTTAACTATACGTTTAATACATTTAAGTCAAGCTAAGGTACATGTGATGGTAGCTAGTTAGTGCTCTTACCTGTGAGGCCTCCTCCAAACAGCATAATAACCAGACTGTATCATTAAAACTAAGTACCAGTTCTAGATCCTTGACTTTAGACAAACAATTCAAAAGACAAAATGTATTTAAAGACCAATCTTTATTTTAATGTGCCTCTTAACCTGAGATATTAGTTATACAGTAATAGTATTGACAATCTAAAAAAACTGAGCAACTCAACAGTCAACTTTATGTTTCTTATTGTCTAAAGCATTTATTATTTTCATTTTCCCCCTCTCATATTCAGTGTGGACGGATTGAGACAGCATGGTGTCCAGAGAGCTGCAGAGACTTCAGGGAGAAACCTCCGTGTGATGGACGTCCTGTCTGTTGGTTTGGAGAGGACTGAGGGTCTTTCCTCTGCGAGGAGGACCAGGCCTGATGGAGGAGCCCATGCTGGGCAAAGCTGATGCCAACTTCACAGGCCTAGTCGGTCACTTTATTTGACTAAATGTGTTTAATACATTTAATAGGTTTACACCTTCTGTCCATATGTGCTTTTTATTTAAAACATTTGATTAACTTTTGGTTCACATTTCAATAAATTGTATTTGTATTTGCACTCCTTTTGTCCATTATTCTTACTGAAAATGTTAGATTACACATTCACATCTGACTGAAGATTGGCCCCATTTATTTGTGACGTTGCAAAACAAGGTACATGTTGTGAAGCTCATAAAGTGAGGCAAATAGAAATAATCAGCTGATGGAGTGTAGATGTGGAAATAGCTGCATTCGATCAGCTGACTGTTTTCACAATAAAAGTAGTTTCTTAGTGAATGTCCTGTACTGGTCTTAAAATCTCATAACATCAGCTTTTAATGTTCCTCTTGGATGTTCTTCTTGACCCTCAGAGAAGGAGAACATGTCCTGTGTTTCAGGCATGTCCTTTCCTAACAAAAATGACAGGAAACATAAAACATATTATTGCAGAACAAGTGTGTTATTTATGAAAGCGGTGTGCTTGTGTGTTTAGGGGCTGTAGATATAATTATTTTGTAATTGTAATGTTTTTTTTTTATTTCAACAATGAGCTACAAAGACAATCAGATTATGAATGAACAGTATATTTCTATGTTCATCAACATAGAAATATATGTTATTATCAAAATAATATTGAACTGTTATCAAAACGTAATGCAACTGTAGAAGCTTGCTCTGTTGTCTCACTGAAAGAATAACTTTTACCACGTTTTTTACAGACAATATTGAGAGATAAATAGTAGCAGTTCTCACTATGTGTTAAATATATTTGCCTTCAATACATTAAATTAGAAAGCTGACAAAGTCATATTGCTTGTTAACAATAACATCTAAATGTAACTTTTTGCATGGAAAAAACCCTCAACTTAACTGATGTGTAGGTGATCTAGTATTTAGTATTGTTTAATGGAATGTATATCAGTGTATTCAAGTCAATACTTAATTCATTTAAACCAATATCTTTCTTGATTCTTTGTACAGTATGAAAAAAGAGTCTTTGTACCTGTGCTGAAGTTCACTGCTGTGAGGAGTCCAGTTCTGTCTCTCACTCTCTGGTCCAGCCTGTCTGCATCACCTGGACACCTTAAACCAGTGGTCCCCAAACTAAGGCCCGCGGGCCGGGTACGGCCCGCCTCCACATTTGGCCCGGCCCCCTGAACAATACCAGAGACGCATTATGATTTATTTATTTTTAAATTATTATTATTATTTATTTATTTTTTTTGTCTGGCCACGCGAATCCTAGACTAGCCCCTGTCAAAATGTTGTGACCTGCTCTATCGAAATCAGTCGCATTGACCCGAAGACACCTTTTGAGTTGTATGGAAAGAGGATATTCCTAGCTTTCTAATGATATCAGGATTGTTTTTGTACTTCAAATATTAAGCGAAATATGTCACATTATATAATGACTGTCACCGAGTCATCATTTTGAGAAAAAGGCCTTCAAAGTTGTCTCTTCTCTGGAATCCATCGATCTGATTGATTATTAGCGGAGCAAATGATCAAAATACTACCGAGGGAAGATATTTTCGTTTGGAGGGGAAGCTTGCGAGTGTGTGTGTGTGTGAGTGTGTGTGCTTGTGTAATTTTGCGTTTGTGTGTATTGTGTTTGTTTCCCGGGGAAAACACTCACGAGAAACACCGGCTGTTGTTATGCCTGCCGTTCTCCGCTTGTAATTATGCCGAAGCTTCAAAGTTGTATTTATCATCTGAATTTGCTGAAACAAGTTTAATATTCTGAAAGCCAAGACTTTGTTTAATTGAAATCAGATGAAAACAAACTGTAACGGACCCTGCAGTGTTATCTATGATTACTATACTCTTACATTCATAATTTCAGCAGAGTGAGGGGGGGGGCGGCGCTGCGGAAGAGCAGATTGCAAGTGAGAAATAAATAGGAAATAAAAGTTTCATATTCTGAAAGCCAAGACTTTGTTTGTTTAAAATCAAACAAAACACCCGAACCCCGAAAAAATAGTTTTTTTTACGTAAATCCACGTTTATTTTGAGAGATTCTGCTCTGACAACTAAGCTAAACTTTTACCTGTTAAGATTGTGCACGGCACAACAGAAAGTTACAGTAATTTTCAATGGACTTTTTTTCTGTGAAGAACCCAGAGAGGGTTATTTGGTTATTATTTATTTCATAAATAGTGTTATTTATTTCATTAATAGTGTTATTATTTATTTCCTGACTTTTTTTCTGTGAAGATCCCGGAAAGGGTTATTAATATTTGGTTATGTGTGGCTTTCTAGAAAACAATAAATGTTTACGTTTAGACACCCATGCGATCGTCACACTTTTTCTGTTACAAACTGACCCGGCCCCCATCAGAGAAGGGAAAAGTTATGTGGCCCTCACAGGAAAAAGTTTGGGGACCCCTGCCTTAAACAAACAGATATGTAAAGTACCATGTGTACAAACAATACAACTGATTCTCTTCTGTTGAACATGTTGGATTGGGTATTGTCCGAGTCAGGGGCCTTTTTATTTTACTGTAACTTTGGAAGTTGTGTTACCAATGCTTACTGTTTATTTGATACCCATTTGGTAATGCAATTAATAAAAACAACAAGGTTTGGGTTCGTTCTTCAGATGACTGTGACGTTAACGTGTAAACTCAATAATGAACTCCAGCTCAACCAACCATATTGTAATATCTAAGTAATCATCTTGAAATAGGACATTAATAATTGTAATATACACACATCGTGAGGTTGATTTCACATACACTACTTCGACATTAGCTTGTCTACATACTTGAGCATAGCCAATTTAAATTAACCTTAGATGCATACAGTTCTACCTACATAATAAAATATCTCTAAGCTACAAGGATGTAACCTTATTTTATCAACCTCAAACAGAAGCCGTTTGTTCAACAGTATTATCCCACTTAACACTTGTCTATTTAGTTTTAACCTTTATATATACACTCTATGATTTTAACTTGGAGGCTACGATTACAATCGTTAGCACCGATGTAGCTACCACTAGCTTACATGCTAACCCAAGCCTTACCATTCATTACGTGGCTGATTAAAATCATTAATACATAAATAAAGCACTCGAATTTCACTTACCGCATTCATGCACCGTCTGTTTTAACCGCAGAGCGAGTCACAATAGTCCGATATATAAGCATGAAGAACAAACAACCACGGCCGGCTTCAAGTTGTGTTTCCTGGATGAGCTGAGCAGGCAGAGTCCCTGTAGCTAGCTTCACGGAGCAGCTAGCAGAGAGACAAGAAGCTAGCAGCAGCAGTCACTTGACAGAGCCGTCACTCAATGTGACCACGCCCTAATTTATGCACACACTTTAAGACCTAATATAAATAAAAGGGTCGCGTTAGAAAACAATTCACTCACAGATCCATAATCATGAAGGTGGAATCTAACTATATCGATAATAAAAATGTATGGAGCCAGGGGTAGAAACATGTTTTTTTCTGCTGTAAAATTGGGCATTTTAACATGGGGGTTTATGAAAATTGCTCCTTTCTGCAGCCATCGCCTATCGGCCAATATATGAACTGCAGTGTGTGGCACTTCCGTATTGACTTCCTGTTTGCCGCTTGGTTCTTACTTAATATCAAGCCACAGTTATTGCTTTTATTTGAAATCGTATAATTTCGGACTTTTGTTGCCGTCTGTGAGG